GGCTGCGGCGTGGCCCTCTCGTCTCTCTCCGTCTCGGAGGTCTGGCAGGGGTCCAACTCTAATTCGGAGGGTTTGAAAAATATACCCTTCTCGCCCGCCCTCTTTCTTCCCGCAATGCGGGCGGAGCGGCGGCTAGACCCCAATCCCGGGTCCTCTGCCAGGACATCCTTGTAAGACCGCTGCGACTCGCGGTCGGTCTCATCCCCCTTGCTCAGGCCGGTGTTGATGGGCCTGTTATTGGAGCCGTCCGATTGCGGGGACGGCTGCTTCCTGCTTCCCCCCACAGAGGCGGCCTCAGACATCGCCTCGCTGTCTGCTGCGGACATTCCCTCGTCCGGGGTGAGAAACGCTGGCGGCGGCGGCGACGATGACGACGCAGGGCCAGCTCTCTTCCTCGTCCCTATCCTAGCGGGCTTACCCCGCCCCCTACCGGCCGATTTCGGCCCACCACCCTCGGGGAGCGACTTTTCTGAACTCCCTGCTGCGTTTTGACCCGGTCCCGCAGCTATGACCTTCTGGCATTCGTTGGCGCCCCCGCATACATGCGCCAGCCCAAGGTTGCCCTTGGGGAGGGATTGCCCGGCTGAGCCGGAACCCTCTCGGGGAGAAGTTAAGTAATTAACGTCTGCCATTTTGGGGTTTTGGTACTCTTTTACGCCAGAGCTCGGCCCCCTTTCCTTCCCTTCGCGCGGCGAGTCAGAGGGGCTAGGACCACCACCTCCTCTCAGCCGCAGCACTCCACACGACGCCTCGGTAACAAACTTCACACTGCGAGACCCGGATATCTCGCAGCGCCGGTGACCAGCCGGGGCGCATAGGTCTCTAGTGACAGATTTAACACTGTGATGCCCAGCTACATCGCAGCGCCGGTGGCCAGCCGGGGCGCATAGGCCGCTCGCAACAGATTTAACATCTTGAGGCCGAGCTACCTCAAGACGCCCGGGGCTAGCGGGATCGCATCGCAAACAACATCCATTATCGAGCATTCTCATTATACGGGGTTCCCCCTTCCGGGCGGGGGGGCCCTACCTGGCCTTAACATCCGGGATTTTTAGAGAGGTTGTCTCCTCTTGGCTCCCACCCTCGGGTGGCAGCCCCCGCTCCCGCACCTCGTGCGGGGTTACGGGTCGGCCGGAAATGGTGCGGACTTCGCATCATAACCGCCCTCGTGGGTAGGGGTTTCCACCCCCCTCGTGCTCAGCTGCCGCTTCCCAGAGTGTCCAGGACGCCAACCAAGTACACACCAACAATGGATCCAAGGCGTAGGACTCGGGGTGGGTCGTCAGAACGAGCCAGCCGAGTGCGCCACCCAAGGCCAAGTTCGCAGCAGCCGCTACCCCGAATATGTCGAGGACGCCTGCCACATCCTTTCAGGGTAATTTTTTACAGAGGTTGTCTTCCTCGCAGCCCCCGCCCTCCGTAGAGGACGGCAGCCCTCGGCCCCGCACCATGTACGGGGTTACGAGTTGTTTGGGCAACTTGTGCCCCCTCCAGGGTAATTTTTTATAGAGGTTGTCTTCCTCTCGGCCACTGCCCTCCGGAGAGAGTGGCAGCCCTCGGCCCCGCACAGGTGCGGGGTTGCGAGCTCTCCCCCAGCTCGGCTGCCGCTACCTGGGATGCCCAGGACGCCAGCCGAGATCCCCACTGGGTAATTTTTTAGAGAGGTTTTCTTCCTCGCAGCCCCCACCCCGGAGGATGGCGGCCCTCGGCCCCGCACCATGTACGGGGTTACGATATTGCCAGCTATCAGCCTACGCATGAGGTATCCTTGCGGATAACTCATACGTAGTTGCCCAGAGCACACCAGGCCAGCACATTTCCGTTCTCTAGGCCTAGGCCACAGGACAGGATATGCACCAGCCACACGGGGAGGTTTCTGGCATAGCACCCCATGTTTCGCAAGCCCTGCACTTGAGCACTGGTACTGTGACATGTGACTGCGTATGTAACAGACAGCCGGTGCTCACTCAAACACGTGCGGCTGGCTTGTAGTAAGTAGTTGAACGATCGCAGCGCGGTTGTATGCAGCTTTGACTCTGTACGGACTGTACGTTTCTTTACTCATGTGCCTTGCCTGGCGATTGTTGATACGCATAAAGGGTCTAACAGGCAGAGGCGGCCTGGCGGCTGCAGCCAGCCCTTATCGGTAATTTGTGTATGAACACTGGCTTTTACATTACTAGCGAATACAACTGGCCATCACCCACCACGGCCACGGATGCAGGCCAAGTCTGTCTGTGAGTCACTCATACGAAGTTGTGAGAGACGATAAATTATCATGTGTAGCTGAAGGAGCATACATATACATACGACAAAGCTTACGATAGAACTAATGCAAATATAGAACGCTCATATCAGCTTGGTACTTACAAGCTTAGTCGCCCAGGTGTGGTAGAAGCATGAATAAGCTCTTAAGTGTTGTCTCTATTTATTGAACCGCAAATTTCATTTGATCGATGTGAACAAAACAAACACTGCGTAAATACTTTGTATATTAATATAGGGAAGTTTATATACAGATTGATATATTTAGATCAGACAGCGTCATCATTATTTTGTTCAAAATATAAGGTGCAAAAACTCAAGGACAATGAAGACGAACTAATTTAAGAAATATAGTAGTCATATAACACAGATTGTAATCTCATAGATGTGCGAATTGATAACGTACGTACGTAACGTATTTTGAGATTCATAAGTGCCAGTAACTACCTTTGCTTAGGTGGTGATTAAATCAAGCAAGTGAAGTAAGAGGAAGTCGTATCACACAAATGAAAACATTAACGAATTATTTCTACAGTAGTCTGATTATTACAAAATCTTCAACGATCTACTGATAAAAAGCGACACTTTAGTACGGAGTGCGGGGATTTCTACCAAATGAAAATCTAATTAAAATTATAATAACTAGTGGATGTCATTATGAGAAGGAAACTACTACTACACTTATTAACAATTAACACTAAAATTGTACCTTTTAAATAGTATAAAGAGAGAGAGAGAGACTTATTTATTAATAAAATCAGACGATCAATCGAAAAAGCATTTTATTAACAACATTACATAAAATATTTATACATAATATTAATAAAAGTTTATGAAGTACGGATGTACAAAATTGCAAAAGCTCACTGTTCATTCAGCTTAATACTAATTGAGGAGCTCGATGGCGCAGGTGGTGAGCGCGTTCGGCTGCGATCGTTGAAGTTAAGCAACTTTCGCAGTGGTCAGTCATTGGATGAGTGACCAAAAATTTACTATCTCGAGCTCCTCCGTGCTTCGGAAGGCACGTTAATCCGTTGGTCCCGGCTGCATCTGAAGCCGTTAGCACCATCGCCCGTACTCCCTATTCCATCCATAAGGAAGGCCTGTGCCCCAGCAGTGGGGACATTAATAGGCTGATGATGATGAATACTAATTATTGCAGCATTGGTATTACTTGCATGTTAAAAACTTAATAAAATAATTTTAATAAGTTGTTCTTGATCTTTTCATAATTGATAAAAATGTTTAGACCCTCACAAATATTAAAGCCGATATCTCTTTGAATTTCTTACTATAAGTATATTACGATTTGTATAAAAAAACCCTACATCAAAGAAATAAGTCTTAAAATGTACATGTCGCTCGTTGACTTTCGTTTTCATTAGAATTACTATATTTATTTAAAATTCAACATATTTAAGTTTGCTTTATCGTCAATATCTACAACATATTAAGGTATAAGTAGATCAAAATAATAATAATCAATAATATTTTAATTGAATACATGCGGAAATTAATAAAAAAGAAATATTCAAAAAGTTTCATAAAAACCTCCAAATCGTTAATTTAATATAATATCTTGTAAATAAATAACTGGTATTTTAGATTGACTCCTGTAGTGAAGGCGAAGTTTTACTTGTACAAGAGTTAACAAAAGCGTATTTTCTACCTATAAAGGTTTCAACAATATTAAGTGCCTACGAATCTCAAAATTTAGCTCTTTCTGATTAAACGACAACAAGCTATTTTAAACTTAACATAACGGTTGCCACTTAACGAGATAATTAAAATCTTCATGAACGAGGTAAATTTATCAAATCAACAAATATGTCATGTTCTTTATTGGACCCGAAATATCATAGAGTATAACACCTCGTGGGTGAGGAGCTCGATGGCGCAGGTGGTTAACGCAATCGGCTGCGATCGTTGAAGTTAAGCAACTTTCGCAGTGGCCTGTGCCCCAGCAGCGGGGCACAGGCATTAATAGGCTGATGATGATGATAATATATCTCGTAGGTAGGTAGGTAAAATCAGCGTTTTGCTGTAACGGGCAAATTTTCCCCTGAGCTGCAGCTTTTTGTCCTGCAGCAAACACACATTGTACATTAGGATTTGCCTTTTTTATTTTAATCGGTTCTTCCTTTTTTCATGTATTACATAATTTTTCTAATGGTTTAAGCTTCCTACCCGTAGGCACGTCATTGTCGGTCGATAATATCTAATGCGATAATTCCTCATACTTTTTTTTAAAGCTTCATAGGCAAGGCGTTTGACAACAATCTCGCCTGATGGAAAGCGGTGATGAGGCCTAGGACGGTACACGCCTGCCTTAAAGTTGCCTGTTCACTCTGGCTTTGAAGATGTCCAGATTATTTTGGTCCGGAAAAACAGACCTCGGCAAGGAGTTCCACTCCCTAGCCGTTCGCATAATGAAAGCGGAATCAAATCTTTTCGTGCGAATGGGAGGAACTTCGACAACATAAGGGCTCGCCGCGTCCGGTGGTGGAAAGAGGAAGGGAAGATCTAATTATGTAATCGTATACCTTTATTGCGTCGTTATTATCACAGCAGTGTGTAACTTTGTAGCCGTTCTCATACATAATGTACTAAAATCAGATATCGCAATAACGCATCCGATATTATCAACCGATAATAACGTGCATATGGGAGGGGGGGTCTTACACTAAGCGTAGCGAAATCCTTCGTCCATGGTTAACACACTCTTTTATTTTCAGGTGGATGACTTTAGCGAAAGCTGTCATATACTACGGGCTGCCTCTGCTAGTGATTGCGTTTTTCTATTCGCTGATGGCACAGAGGCTGTTAGCCAGCACAAGGGAGATGCCAGGGGCATTACACGGAGGCCAAGGCGAGGCTCAAGCTAGAGCCCGAAAATCAGTAGCGTGCATGGTACTAATTTTTGTCATAGGTAAGTGTCATCATCATCATCAGCCTATTAATGTCTCCACTGCTGGGGGCCAGACTTCCTTATGAATGGAATAGGAAGATTGGACCACGCGGGCCCAGTGCGGATTGGCGGGTGCTAACGCCTGCAGATGCAGCCGGGACCAACGGCTTAACGTGCCTTCCGAAGCACGGAGGAACTCGTGGTAGAAGATTTTTGGACACCCGTCCAATGACCGACCACTGCGAAAGTTGCTTAACTTCAACGATCGAAGCTAAACGTGCTATCCACCTGCGCCATCGAGCTTCTTAATAGGTAAGTGTGAAGACGGTTAATATGATTATTCAAACTGGCCGTTAGCGTATTTAATTTAAATAAAAAAAATGTTAATATTGGTATTCGTTAATGTTGTTCTAAATTTGTGTACGATGGCAACATATTATGCGTGCTGCAGCAGCTGCTACCAAATAAAATGTGTTATCTGTCGGGCGAATAATTCAGTCAGGTAATTTCGTTTGACGTCATATTTTATGTTCCCAAATTTTGCGTACATTTTAATTACATTCTCCTAATAATAGTAACCACAAGATGAAGTTCGCAAATTGCTATTTGCTTTAGATTATTAGAAACCAAGAATTTTCCTTTCGTCATATTGGATTTGCGTTGTTAATTTACAAACACACTGACACACACACACACTGATGGAATCGTTTGATGTAATCAACGATCTCGTAGTCAATCCAATCATGCATGAACCAATGGAAGCACAACTGATCTGCAAAATGAGCGGTTTAATAAGGTTTAATTTGTCCGCGTTAAATTCAGCCAATCTGGAAAATTTATATTGCTTTTTCATTAAGTTATGTAAGATGATGGATTGTAGACAGCTCATGACTAATTTTATTAATGAACGAAATTGCAAGCCGATGGAAGCAAAGTGAAAGGATACTGTTTAGAAAATGTTATTTAATATTGGCATAGTATACGACAAATGTATCAATTAACTACTATGTGGAACATGGAACCCTTTTCTTCTTTGGTATGCAATCAGAAGATGGGGTTTTTAGTAAACTAAATATATTACTGAAATACAGAAAGAACTTGAAAGCGAAAGAAAAAGATAAGAAAACCAAAAAGATAGATACTAAATAGAGTTGAAAAAATTAGAGATATGGATAATAAAATGACCTTTAGAAATCACTACGACTTGACAACTTGGCTTTTTATTACGGGTGTGTAAACTATTTAAAAAATAAGTGACCTATAGAGGTGTTTAGTTTAGCTTGTTACGTTAGATCTTGGATTATGGCTCTGTTATTTGGAATCCTAAATCATAGTATTTTTTTATATAAATGCTTGCATACAGAACTGGATGAAACTATACCTCATATGAGGCCTGTTATAAAAAATATGACATTCTCCCACTGAGGTCTCTTCGACAGCTATTTCACCAAATGTTTTTTGTATAAAATGTGAAATAATTTGATTGATTCCCCTAACTTCTATATTCTATATATATTTCAAATTCCCACATAGATTGTTCGTCGCTCCAAACGATTATTTGTCATTCCAATCTAAAAATTATACTGAAGACACATAAATTTACATCGATGTTTGTGTTTGACCGCTTTTAATATATCATTTACAAATATTGCCCATTTATCAATTAGTGTAAACAAATTTCAGAAGATATTTAATTGCTTGTTCTCTATTATTTAGGTATATGGTTTTTTTCCCGAGTGCGCACTATAAAATTTGAATTTAGAACTTAGCTTTGTTTTTCATATCGTTATAATAACTTTGCGTTCTGTGTCATGTCAGTTTGTTGTCCAGAATAAAATAGGTACATAAAAGATATAAGTTCGCATCCCTCTTTAGCATGAAAACAAAATAATTGTCCTATTACGACAACATAAATGTTTAAAATTAAAACAACGTGAGCGCACTTGAAATTAAATTGTTGCAAAGCCATGTTGTGACGGTCGACCATTTCAAATTAACATATTAATTACCAACTCTAGGATGCGGCCTAATAACAAATTCACAAGTCGCAGAAAATTCTGGCTTCTTGAGACGAATGTATTCGAAAACAAACTTCAAAGTGTTTTGCGCCCCTTCAGAATGAATTTCTTATTAAACGTAACGTTTGTCTTTCTCCATAACGTTGCGCCTCGCAAATAATCTGAGAGGGTACCTACACCCTAAACTTGGTTATGCCACGCAAAATTAAGACGGCGTAAATTATGTCCTTATTATTAGTGAAGTTTTATCAAAGAAAATGTTATTGTGTTCTAACAAAAATATAAAAAGACTCTATTTTCAATAAATCTCTATTAACGGTGTCGGTGAAAGAATCTGAATTTGTTAACGGCTGAAATAACTTACAGTATCTTTTAAAAATAGCTTTTTCGTTGTTTTGCTTCTTAGAAACTCAAATATTGTTCATATTTTATATTTAAGCCTTGATTGAAGTCAGCTTGGGGATACATTTATTCAACGGTTCTCTGCCTTACTTAGTAATTATATAAATTTTATTTATTGAAATTTATAGGACGAAGTTTTATTCAATAATCAATCTTATATGACGACCTCCGTGGCCGAGTGGTTTGTACGCCGGGTTTCATGGTGTCGCCGACTCGAGAGGTCCCAGGTTCGAATTCCGGTGGGGCAGATGTTTGTGTGATGAATACGAGCATTTGTACTCCAGCCATGGATGTTTAATATGTATTTATATAAATATACTTATATATGTACAGTATATGTATTCTATCCGTTACCCTAGCATCCCATAACACAAGCCTTATAGTATTTGTTTCTTAGGTTTTCACGCACATCACTCATTAAATAAAACTAGTTTTTACGGGTTAATGCACGAAACTTTATTTATTTATTGACGTTTCGCAGGCTTTTCAGGTCTGCATCGTCAGAATAATGATTTTTTTATTTAAAATTGTCGAGCTACCTTCGAAAGACTTATATTGAGCGTTCGGTTATTTCATTGGAAGATTTTTAAAATTTTATTGTCTATGTATGAATTTATTATTTAATTTACTTAATAAAGTATTTTATTTAAAATTCTTGTTTGTAAGTTTGAGTTTATTTATTTATATGACCCTAACTACCGTAAACTACCACCGGTTCCAAAATTGGGAGACCTTCCTGAGAAGAACCGGCGAAACAAACTCAAGAGAGGCTTTCTATCTCCTTCTTATGTTAAATTATGCAAACAAAAAGAACTAATAGTATCTGATGGTCTTGCAGTGTGTGCTCGGGGTTGGGATTTTATCTCTTGTATAATAGGTTCCCAAGCTGGTGGTATATACCAACCATCTTCCCTATTGAAATTTGGATATTTTTTAATCTCAATAGCCTCGCGCATCATTCGAGGAACGAACCGCCGCCGCTCAGCTGCAAGGATCTGTGGTCTATCAAATCTAATGTAGTGGTTTGGTCCCCCTTGGTCCTTGGTGTGAACATGCATAACCCCGAGCACACACTGCAAGACCATCAGATACTATTAGTTCTTTTTGTTTGCATAATTTAACAAAAGAAGGAGATAGAAAGCCTCTCTTGAGTTTGTTTCGCCGGTTCTTCTCAGGAAGGTCTCCCAATTTTGGAACCGGTGGTAGTTTACGGTAGTTAGGGTCAAATAAATAAATAAACTCAAAATTACAAACAAGAATTTTAAATAAAATACTTTACTAAGTAAATTAAATAATAAATTCATACATAGACAATAAAATTTTAAAAATCTTCCAATGAAATAACCGAACGCTCAATATAAGTCTTTCGAAGGTATCTCGACAATTTTAAATAAAAAAAATCATTATTCTGACGATGCAGACCTGAAAAGGCTGCGAAACGTCAATAAATAAATAAAGTTTCGTGCATTAACCCGTAAAAACTAGTTTTATTTAAGCCTTATAGTGCTTACTTTGGGGCTAGGCTAATTGGTATGAGTGTTGGAAATAATTATTATTATTATTTATTTATTTATATTCCGTATCTATGAACTGTTATTAAAATCCTCAAGCTAGTCCAGTCCACTTTCTCAAAAATCTGGAACCTAATGTCCTGATATTGTATATTAGAAGGATTTGCCCTTTCGGACAGAATGGCGGATCGCGGAAAAGTGAAAAATTTGTAAGAATTTTCAGGCACAACCTATCTTGGCAGCTAGCTAGGCAGCTGGGTGGGTACCTAGGTGGGCAGCTAGGTAGGCGAGCATTGACGGCGGTGGTTGTGGACTTGTTTGTTTCATGAACTTAGGGGACATGAAGTGAAAGATTTGTAGTAAAAAATATCTTCTTTGACAACACTGCGAGGAAAACCACTCATGTGGCATTTGCACGTGAAGTATGTGGTAGTTACTCGATTGCACGACGGGTAGGGGAGAGTGGGGACATTGCGGACACCTTAGGGAATCCTTAAATAAAAGATAAAGTATAATCTCAAATCAGTCTTTCTTAATAAGATATATATATATATATATATATATATATATATAATAATTAACAGATATAAATATTAAAAACTAATCAACTTCAATATTCTTTTATCAAAAAACAAAACCCTTGCTACCCGAAGCCTACCGCGTAAATACGGACAGCATGTGGGGTAATTACGAATGGCACTGTTATTGCAGATGCGACATTAAAAAAGTTTGAAACGCAACAATAATACAAAAAAAATAATGAACTAAGTATCATTATTTGTCACTACAAAAATCGCAAATATAGCCTCGGCTTGTACTCCCACCTATGCAATTGTCATGCGCCCATTTCGGGTCCGGCACGATACGTCCTGATTTTCCCCAAGACAGCAGTCCGTAATTAACCCAACTGGATGTCAATATTTAGCGGCAAAAAATTGTAGGTTAGGTAATAATAGTGATAGTTTATTATTCCACATTTTCAGAGGTGATTAACAATACATATATTATACAGTTTTAAAGTTAAATAAATATTATAACATTGACACGCAACTATAAACGAACAAACATTACAGGAAACCACTTCTAAATA